CGGGGTGGGGACAGGTCAGGGTGATCTTACCACCCGGAGGAGCTTCATCCTCAGCAGCTTCAGCTCTTTCTGCAACTGCGCCAGCTGGGTCTGGGTCTGCCGCAGGTGGAAGACCGCCTCCTCGCGCTCCATCTTCTGCTTCTCCTGGAGCTCCTTCACCTCTGCGGACAGTCTCCGTGCGGCCGACCTGTGCAGTTTGGAGAACTCGTGCAGCCACTGCACCCTGAGTCCCTGTAACTGCTCCTGCCTGAGGGCGAAGCGCACGGCCAGGGCCAGGCTGCTCCAGGCGCAGGCCTCCTTGGCCTCACTGGGCAGCTCACTGTCTTCCACGATGGCCCTGAGCTTGTCTTCCACCTGCCCCCAGGACAGGGACACATTCTCGAGGTAGAATTCAGGACCTTTTGTGTGCCTGGCCATCTTGTCATTGATGAAGGCCACCACTTCGCCGTGTTGGAATCCACCAGAGGGGTCCTCGGGTTTCAAGGCCATGAGGGCTGAGGGCTTTAGTGGCTTCGCTGGCCCTGTGGGGATGGATCAACCAGTTGTCCCCGCCCCTCCCCCTAAGCCCTTCCATCTCCTAGCCCTCCCCCTCCCTCCTCCGACCCTCGTGATGACCCCTCGATGGGCTTGTCCCTCCGTAGGACACCTCCCACCAGTCCTCACCTCTCCAGACAGTGGCCAGAGGAGGTCCAGACCGAAGACGCCCACCTACCAGGCCCAAGGAGCAAGTGGGACAGGACTCTCTCGTTGCTTCTGCTTCTGCAAAATGGCGCCTTGGGGAGCCAACCCTCGGGGCTTGTACTGTGGGACTGTTCCAACTACCAGAGACTGTGGGGGTGGGAGGGAGTGCGTGAGAAATGCCCCTCCCCCTCCTACGGATGTAAGAGGATACGCCACAAGGTTGAAAGTCCTGGGAGGTGGGTAGAAACAGGAGTGGTCAGAAAAGACTTGGAATCTGGAAAATGAAGCACTTGTACTCAAGTCAGAAAAGTTCACCCCCCCCATAGTGGTTTGTCCCATGCCGAGGGAGCCGTCTCCTAGAAATGGAAAGTTCTAGAACAGGACAGAGTTCCAACCCCTCAGTGGCTTTGGGTAGCTAGGGAACAGCTCCACCCCCCATTGACGTAGGACTGAATGCTGCAGACATTTTGGCCATTTCCACCCCCAACAGGTTCTTGAATCTGCCCACTTCCACCCTCCATCCTAGTCCAGCACCCCTCCTCCCCCGTCATTTCTTCCCTCGACCACTGCTGCCCTCTGACCTAAGGTCAGTCTTCTGCCCTACCCTTTCCTCAGAGGGATTTGACCAAGTCTATTAAAACCTTCTGCGATCCCGTTGCCGGTCGCGGTTTGGGTGCGACACTGAGGGTTGCAATCCTGTTACCGGTCACGAAAAAAAGACAAAAAAAAAAAAAAAAAAACCTTCAGGGCCGGCCGTGGGCACTCGGGAGAGTGCCGCGCTGGGAGCGCACGACGCTCCCCAGGCGGGTTCGGATCGTATATAGGAATGGTCGGTGCGCTCACTGGCTGAGCGCAGTGCCGGCGACACCAAGCCAAGGGTTGCAATCCCCTTCCCGGTCACGAAAAAGACAAAAAAAAAAAACAAAAAAAACTACCTTCAATGACTTTCTGAGGCTTACACATAAACCAGACAGATGTCAGGTTGAGTCCTACTTAGCCACTTATTATATGACCTAGTGCTATAAATGAATCTTAGTTTCTACCTGTGGGCCTGCAATGGGGACCAAATGACAAATGTGTACATAAAGTTGAAGAGGTGATGTTTTCTGTGATCCCATTTTTGTAAAATGTGCAACTTATGTGTGTGTGCATATATCTTTGTATATTTTTCTATAATCTCGGAGAATGGGGTGGGGGAGTTATCTGTGGAATGTGGGGTTGGATGGGAGGTTAGGAAAAAATTTTTAACTTTTAAAAATACATATTTCTTTGATTTCATTTGTTATAAAGAGCATATAACTTATATGTATGCATACATTAAAAATCTGCAAAGTTATATACCAACGTTTTAACAGTGGTTATTTTGGGTGGTAAGAATATAGAACATTTTTCTTTAAAAAAATTATTCTTTATGTTTTTCTCTATTATAAAATTGTTTATAATAAGCATGTATTAAGTTTTTCAAAATTAAAAAAGAAAACTTTTTTTCCTGTAACATCTGATCATTATAAATAATTTTGAAGTATCTGGAAAGTACATTTCTTCCAGTAATCTCATTCTTTCCCCAACCTGGGAAATAACCACTGTTAATAGTTTGATATATACCCCTTCAGTCTTTTTAAAGAGGTCAAAACACATAATTTGCAATTTCTCAAATGCAGCGTCTTCCAGGCTGCTCTGTGCATGAGTGGGTTGTCCGTCTCTCCCACTCTCTCCACTCCCATTCTGCTTATTTACCTAACTCCTATTCAATTTATATTCCTCTTTCAAGATAGTGCTTAAGCATTTCTTCCTCCTGTAAATATTTCTTGATCCCCCAATCCCTGCTGCAAAGTAGGCTGAATTGTATAACTTTTCTGTTTCCCTGTAATACCTTGTGCGTGTCTCTTGTGATACTTTCCACACTGTATTATAATCTGTGATGTTCTAATCTTTTTTTCCTAACTGGGTATTCCTTGAGGGCATGGATTGTGTCTTAATTATCTGTATTTTCAGCATCTAGCACAGTGGTAAGCACACAATAAATTGTTGAATGAATTCATTGCATCATTAAGGTGCAAACAGTTATTGTTAGAGAGAGACCCATTTTCTTTCTTTTCTGAAATGTCTTTTTCTCCACACAGACTGATTTTCTGTCACCTCACAGCTTCCTGTGGTAGGGACCTGTCCTCTGTATCTGAAACCAATCAGTATCTGACAGATTTGGAATTTGAAAAAAACGCCCTGGAAGATTCAGGAATGAAGCTTCTATGCGAAGGATTAAAACAGCCAAATTGTATATTACAGACATTGAGGTAACTGATGTCAGGATAACTTGTTTGCATTTATATCATTTTTGGGATCAATTTTTCTTTCTCTGGGGGGAGAACATAATTATGGTAATGAGATCATTCTTCTGTTCTCTAAAGGTTGTACCGGTGCCTTATTTCTCCTGCTTCTTGTGGGGCGCTAGCAGCTGTTCTTATCACCAATCAGTGGCTTACTGAACTGGAATTTAGTGAAACAAAACTGAAAGCTTCAGATTTGAAATTTCTCTGTGAAGGCTTAAAAGATCCAAATTGCAAATTACAGAAGCTCAAGTAAATTGGAGCTGTATTGATTTTGCAAGAATATTTTTAAAATATGCAACTTAAGGTGGTGTCATGTGATCAAAACTTGTTTCAAAGAGTCAAGGAGAGGAAGAATAAAAGTGACAGTCCCTAAAATTGTTCCTATGTAACAAGCTTAGAAACAGAATTTTCATTTTAAGTGGCAATATTATCAATGACAATAATAATAACTCACACTTACTGAGCAATTACTTTGTTCTAAGCTAAGTATTGGGCTCATGTGATTATGGAGGCTGGCAAGTCCAAAATCTGCAGGGTAGGCTGGCAGGCTTGAGACCCAGGGAAGACCCAATGTTGCTGTTCAAGTCTGAAGGTTGTCTGCTGGCAGAATTCCCTCTTCTGAGGAGGTCAGTCTATTTTTTTTAAGGCTTTTAACTGATTGGATGAGGTCCACCCACATTATGAAGCGTAGTATACTTTACTCAAAGTCTACTGATTAAAATGTTAATCTCACCTAAAAAGTACCTTCACAGAAACATCTAGAATAATGTTTGGCCAACTATCTGGGGACCATGGCCTAGCCAAGTTGATGCATAAAATTAACCATCATAATATGTGTGAGATTTTTTAAATCAAAAGCTCTTTAGCCTTAAAGCTTTCTAAAATCCACTTTGAAAGCTCATTTTATGCAAAGTGCCTCTGTTTAAAATTTCTAAATCGGGGAGATACAAATACATCTCTTTATATCCTTCTTCAAGACTGAATTTGGAGCCTGGTAAGTCAATAAAAAATTGAGGATTCAAAGGTTATAGTGTATATACAGAAATTTTTGAAAGTGATGGAAGGAAATGTTGATGGGAAATGGTTCAAGTAATTGGATTATTTAATATGGAGAAACAAAGATTAAGAAGATAGGGAGGGCAGTAAAAACCACTCTTTTTGCCAAAGAAGGATATTATATGGATGATGATGATGGGCTGAGTCTCTCTAAAGATGGCACGTTAATAAATAATGGACATCTAGATAAGGAGAAAAGAAAGACCTTTTGACTGTAATTTTTTTTTAATTAAATTGTAGTTGATTATACATATTTTTTGGACTCAATGTTGACATATGTTGATCTAATCAATATTAATATATATATATTGTTACAAATTGTACTTATTCTTTATACCCCTTGTCCAATCTCTCCCTATCCCCCTCTACCTTCCCCCTCCCACCACTGATAACCCTAGATTTCTTCTCTCCCTCTCAAAGAGTGATGGTTACTCTGTTGATTTGTTGCCTAGATGATCTGCTCAATACTGAGAGGTATGATTCAGGTCCCCCACTATCATCATAGAGCAGATGCTTCTTCTGTTGGAATAGGCTTTGTGGAGAGAGACATTCTCTTCTTTTCTTTGGTCTCTGCTGGTAACTCTCCATGTGTAAGTGCACTCCAGTGGCTGGTAGACCATCTGTGTAGTGGTTGTGAGGTCTAGCCACATTTGTGGCAGCCATGGTTACTGTGGTGGCTGTGGTGGGCCACCCACATGGAGGCGATGTTTTTGGCATGCTTCTTGGCACTGGTGGTGTGCCTGGTTGTGGGAGGGGCGTCCAGTCCCCAGCTTGATGCCCCAGGCCCCTGGGTGGGGCTCTGAGGTGCTGGCAATATGCCTGTTTGTGAGCAGTGGGTCTGGTCCCCAGCTTGATGCCTCAGGCCCCTGGGTGGGGCCCCAAGGCACTGGCAGTGTGCCTGGTTGTGAATGGAAGGTCCTGTACTGGCTCCAGCCTCAGGTCTCCTGGTGGGCCCCAAGCCGCTGGTGGTGTGCCTAGGCTGGAACTAATTTTTTGTCCTTTGCTCACTTCTAAAATGGGGGAACTTCCTGTGGGAACCAGTACTTGAACTGTGTGGTTGAGCTAAATTGCTACTTTGCAGCTATTTCCTTAGGGAATGCTTTTTGTGCAGCTCAGGGTTTAATGGTTGACCTTATAGGTACTTTCAGCTCTCCAGAGACCTGGTGCACCTGGGTTGTGTAGGAACTCTGGTCTGTCCCTGAGTCTTTTCATCAAACTGCACCCCGTGCAATTCTGTATTCCTGACCAGTCTCCTCTGAGTGGTCCTGCGCTGATTAGAGGGCAGATCGGCTAACCTTGCTGAGTCCCAGTGCTCCCCTGGTGGGCCCGTCTCCACCACCGCCCATGCTCCAAACACTTCCCATGGGACGGTCCCTACGCCAGTCCCTTGTGATGATTCACCAGCCTCTTTTTTCAGTTCTGGCTCCTTGCTCCTGTGTGGTCCACGGGAATCTTATTAGTGGTTTTGCTGTCCTGGGGGCCACCAAGGCCCTCTTCTTCCCTGCCACCTCCAAGCAACTCCATCTGAAGGGCACAGCTGTGGCTTCTGCCGGCTCAGTTTCTGAGGCTGGGAAGTCCAAAGTCCATCTGGTAGTGGCGACAGTGACCCAGGGGTCTCACATTGCAAGATAGTGGAAGCAGAGCAGAGCGACTGTAAAATTTATTAAGGATGATTATAGAATTTTCCTCTGTTATTTGAAAGAAGATATGAGATAAAGTGCTAAATTCATACAGAGGTTTAAAATGAGATTAGATCATCTTAATATTTCCTCCCAACTATTTTATTTTCTCAGGAAGTCAACACTGAGTTCCCATGGTGGGACACATTGTTTTGGAAGTATTGCGCAAGTCCTTGCCAAGGGGAATAGGAGGCTGTGACATGCTCAAGATCGGGGTCTTCTATCTTTGGGTCTTTATTTTCTCTGCTCGTGCAGTACTGTGGGTAGAGAATGAGTAGTGCACTAAAATGGCCAGTTCTGTCTGTGTACATTTCTCCCTCCAGGTTGTGTGCTAGCCTTCTCCCAGAAGACTCAGAGGCTGTTTGCAGGTATCCTGCCTCTGTTCTCATTTGCAACTCACACCTCACTGAGTTGGAACTGAGTGAAAATCCCCTGGGGGACACAGGGGTGAAGTATCTTTGTGATGGTCTCAGACATTCCAACTGTAAAATGGAGAAACTAGAGTAAGTTTCTTAGAAGTATCTGGCATCGTCTTATGACTACTGAACTTGTTGAGTGCCTGCTATGTGCTTGGAGCTTGCCAGAAGTTATTTCACTCCTTACAATAACCATATAAGGGGTGGGTTTTCTTATCCCCATTGAACTGATGAGGAAATTCAAGATAGGGGAAAAACTGACCTGTCCAAAATCACATTGCTAATATGTGGTATAGTCAGAATGTGATTCTAAAATCTTTTTCTAAATCTCGTGTTGTTTGCAGTATACCACAGCTCTGTGTGTTTACAGGAATGATATTAATTAAATATTAACTATAAAGAATACCTGCTATGACCCAACAATGGGCTATATGTGGGTGGACTTATCAGAAGTTCTACAAGTGACAAGGCTGCTCATAAGGAGACAGAGATATGTGCCAAATACTGTGGAGTCATTTAGAAATGCCAGATGAGCCCAGGGAAGAAGAGGAGGTCACTGTGGACTTGGACACCTGAAGAGAACATTATGGTAAGGAAGTGGGGCAGGAGCTGGAACTTAAAGGATGACTAGGTCTTAGCTGAGTGGGGAGGCTGGTAGAACATTCCCAGGAAGCCAAAATGATAAGTGTCTGATATTTTTTTTCTGTTTTCTCTGGGTAGCTTGAGCACATGTTACCATACAGATGCTAGCTGTGTAGAGCTCTCTTCTTTCTTGCAAGTGAGTCAGACTTTAAAAGTACTATTTGTGTTTGCCAGTGTCTTGGGGGACACAGGAGTACAGCATCTTTGCGAAGGTCTACAGCATGCGAAGGGTATAATTGAGAATCTTGTGTAAGTGTCTGCTTGCCCTTGTCCTTCTCATGGGGCTTGGCATTTGAGGGTCGGTGGGACTCCCTGCTGCCATAGTTAACCTTGGTGTCCCCATCCCTCCAGGCTTTCCAAATGTTCCCTTTCTGCAGCTTGTTGTGAGCCCCTTGCCCAAGTCCTGAGCTCCACCCGGAGCCTGACAAAGCTGCTTCTAATTAATAACAAAATTGAAGATTTGGGAGTGAAACTGCTATGTGAAGGATTAAAACAGCCTGACTGTCAGTTAAAGGATCTGGTGTAAGTATTGTGGGCTATAGCCACAGGCAGTTTCCTGATGTTTCAGGGTCTCCCAAAATTAAATGTGTATTTTTTTGCCTGGTGATTGAATCTGCAAGGAATCAATAAATGAAGAACCAAATACTTTAGAGGAAATAAATCATCCTTTCACCACAATCTCTGCTTGGCTTTGGGCCAAGGGATTTTTTTCTTTCTACATGACACTCTGATTTTCTAATGTGTTTTTTCTAATGTGAAAACACAATTCCTAAAGTGACCCAGTACAGATAAAATGATACCATCCTTCTCTGTCTTGCTTCTTGGCAGATTGTGGACCTGTCACCTGACTGAGGCATGTTGTCAGGATTTGTGCAATGCACTCTACACCAATGAACACCTGAGAGTCCTTAACCTCAGTGACAATGCCTTAGGGGATGAGGGCATGCAGGTGCTGTGTGAAGGGCTGAAACACCCCTGCTGCAAACTACAGACCTTGTGGTAGGTGCACAGGGACTCTGTCTACTGGGCTTTTGTTCCAGGCCATATATGAAAGGGAGGGCCACTGGGGAACTTGGAATAAAACTGATTTCTTTCTTGAATCTTCAATGCCTCACAGGTTAGCAGAATGTCATCTCATGGATGCGTGCTGTGGAGCCCTCACCTCTGTCCTCAATGGAAATGAGAACCTAACCCTGCTAGACTTAAGTGGAAATGGCCTCAAGGATTTTGGAGTGCAAATGCTGTGTGATGCACAGATTCATCCAATATGTAAACTTCAGACATTCTAGTAAGTCACTGTGGTAGGGGAAGTGGGAGGGTGAGGGTCAGGACAGGCATGTTGGGTTTGGTCATAGCCCATTGCAGTAAGGAAAGAGAAGACAAACTGAGGGCAGGCCAAGTATAAGCAAAATAGTAAAGTAAGTAAAATTACCAGTAGGCCTGTCCTCTTGGACACAGGAGCAGGGAAAGAGGTAGAGAACAGGCAGCTTTGTATCTGACTGCTAAGGGAAGCAGCATGGTGTAGGAAAAAGTGCATAGTATCCAGATTTTGCTGGGTCTGGCTCAAATCCTACATTTAGCATCTACTAGCTACAAAACCATGCTTACTTAACCTCTTTGAACTTCAGTATCGTTGTCTGTAAAATGGGGATAATGCTAGTACCTGACTACATGGGGTTAACATGGGAATTGAATTGAGATAGTAATCATGAATGTACCTACTATAGCCCTTAGCACATAGGAGGTACTCCATAAACATTAGGCCTTTTGCATTTCCGCTTTTAATACCTGCTAGAGGATTTAAATGTGTACATTTCGAGAGTCTTCAAGACTCAAGGGGATGAAGCTGTAATGGTGCAATTACAGAAGTGGAGATCTTGGCCCTCTCTAGTCAGTATCCATCTGCCAACTCAGCAGGCTGGCATGACACACAGAGTAATTCCTAATTAGGATACAACTATGCTCTGTTGGCATCTAACCAGTGGCCAAATGGCCATTCACTTCTGGCATGCAGAACTGGAACACATAATGGAAAGTAAAGGCTGAGTGTAAAAATTCCACATTCCGAAGCCAATTTGATGGATTGAAACATAAATGAAAACATCATAAAGGCCCAATTACAAGTCTGGCTAAAACAGGAGCTGGTTCTCTACTAGCAAAGTGAAGTCTTAGTTTCAAAGGCTCAAGGGGGTGGTGATTATTGCCCGAACAGAAGAAATATTCACAACATGATAAACCTCAAGGGTTAGGGAGATCCATGATGTCTTTCTCACGAAGATCTATGTGGATAGAGTCTTTATTGTCAACAGATTGAAATAACATAACAATCAACCTTAATGTTTCTTTAAATGTAAAGTAATTTAACAAGCTAGCACTCTACAACTTGTATGCTGTAGTGAAGGTGCTAAATAACAACAAGGAGAAATTATTTTATTGGTGATGGCATATCATTATTTCCTTTTTATTGTAAATTGTTGCACCGTTTCCTATTTCTTTCATGCTTTGTCTGCAACCAGTGTACTTCCATGGTGTTTTCAGGCCAATCTTCAAATCCTTATAACTTGTCAATCAACAAGTTGAAAGCAGTGTGCAGTAATAGCTCTGAGTACAAAATAAGGGACACACACACAGAGTAGACACAATTTGCTGACCTCAAATAAATTTTGAAAGAAAGTATGTGAACAAAACTGAAATAATAGAAATGTATATACTTACCCAAATAAGGTGAGAGGAAGATATGAATCACTTAATGTGGTGGTCTGGAAAGGAGTAAAATCCAGGAGATCTTCCTAGAAAGGGTAGTCTTCTCTGGAAATTGGAATAGCTGGAGGAAGTTACTTTCTAAGAGCTGCTTGAATGCAGGGTTTAATCTCATTCCTCACCGTATTTTCCCCCGTAAACTTCCTGGCACAATGCTTTGCATATAGTAGGTACATACAGGAGACCTATTAGTAATTTAGAGCATCTGGGGACAAGACAAGGAGACAGTTAGTGATACGTCCAATAAAGACCAAGTGTCTAGACATTCAGAAGAGATTGTGGCCTGAGAGTGACAGAGTTCACATTTATTCATTCTACAAGCACTGGCTCTGTACCTCTTATGTGCCAGGCAAATGTGCCAAGCACTTGGGAGACAAGAATGGATAAGATATAAGACATAATCTGTGCTCTTCAGGGCCTAGTGGGCCTAGTGGTAGAGACAGGCACATAAACTGATTAATGCAATAAGATAATTACAAGGTATTAAGGGAGCCATGGCAGGATACCGTTAACCCAGCCCAAGAGGGTCAGAGAAAGCTTCTTGGAAGAAGGGCCATCTGAGTTCAGTCTTAGGACTATGGCCAGGAAAGTGGGGGTAAGGATGGAGGAGGGTAGTCCAGGCTTAGGAGATAGCACAAACAGGTACCCAGATATTAAACAGCATGATTTATAGTGCTTGATGGGGATAGGGGTAAGGAATCTCCAGGAAGTTTGGTATTGCTGGAGCATAAAGTTCAAAGCAGAGTGGCAAGAAATGAGGCTAAGGGCATAGTCAGGCCCTTGAATATCATGTATGATAAGTAAGACCTATTAGCAGAATTCTGAGTGCAAATTCAGTCATCTCTTTCTCTCACATGCTCTAGTAGTAGTACATTTTGAAGCCTCTTCTCACCCCATCTTTCCAAAGCTAGATGGAGAATCAGTTTACAGCTACTGTTGTTTCTCTTTGCCACATGGGGTTGATCTTGAGAACTGATCCCACACAGTCTAACAGAAGCTTGGTGACCAGACAGCGATGCCCTGGCTGGTCCAACATTTCTGCCGGCCCTGCGGTGGTATTATCCTTGGGATCCAAGGTTACAGATATCTTAGTCTACACCCCAAAGTGCAGCCATTGTTCTGTAAAGTACTATATGTGTCAGGGTAGCTGGGTCTAGAGGAGCTTCTCTTTAGTCAGCCACAGATATATATGAGGGTACTTCTAAAAGTTCATGGAAAAATAGAATTAAAAAATCCTCACATGTGTAGAAGTCTGCTCTTGCCCACAATGATGTAGGCCCTTGAGTTGAGGAGGGACACTGTTTAAGCCTTTTCTTTCTTCAAGATAATTTTATATTAGGGGTCTTGATACCTTTCCCAGGCACTGGGCCTTGGTTGAAACTCCCTAGCTCATCTTGATACATGTTTCTAATTCTAAATTTGGAAAGAAGGGGTTGAGAATAATTGGTCTCTTTACTTTCGGAAGAACTCTGGGCTTCCTAAGCAAATTGGCCCTTCTCTTTCTCCTCAGCAGTTAATTCTATGTATCACGCAGTAAGGCAGCTTTTGCTAAACCACTCAAAAAAATTTTAAGTTCTTGGTATACTTCTGTTGCCTTAACTGTCCACTTACCTGATAATTACACAACTAACAGGGCCATTCATTTCACTTCACTGGATGGATCAAGATTAGCTTCTATCCATTAAAAACTAAAAACTGTACCTCACTGCACACTTGAAAGAGCTTATACTTTATTTTGTAGTCAATGGGTTTTCATCACTGATACACATATTGAGTTTGAAGTGCCTGAGGGACACTCAGGGGAGGTTTTCTGGTAGGTAGGCAGTTGGATATAGGAGTGTGCCCTGGGAAGTGGTCATCTATGTAAAAATGATAATGGAAGCTATGACAGTGGATAAAATCTGCTAGGAAGAGTGAGAAGAGAAAAAAAAAACCTTTCTTCAATGTATCTGGGAAATAAACCCCAGGAACTGCCAACTTTTTTTTTAAAGAAATGAGTATGGAATGAGACATCCGCGGAGAGAACTAGGAGAGAATGGTGTCCAGACAGCTAAGGAAAAAGTGAATTTTAAGGAAGTTGAAATCTCAATAGTATCAGATGCAGCACAGCGGTCCAATAGGATGAGTACTGAAAAGTGTCCATTGGATTTAGCAGTTAAGAGGTCATAGGTGACCTCATTAAGGGCTGTTTTAGTGGTGTGGTGGGGCTGGAAACTGTATGGCAGTGACGTGAAGAGATGGAAGATAAGGAAGTGGAGAAAGAGAGTGGAAATTACTTTTTCAAGAAATTTGTGAAAAGGAGAAGTGGGGTCGTAGCTGGTGGGAGTTGTGAGTCTGGAGGAAGCAGGGAGCTATTCTTTGTCTTTTTCTGCCTTATTTTGAGATAGGCAAATATGTAGGTTGAGAGAAAGGAGCCCATACAGAGGGAGAGGTTTTAGCTACAGGAGTGGGAACAAATGGGCTAATGAAGCAGGGCCTTGGAAAAGGCAGGGAGAGAAAGGAATGAGAGTCCAAGAAGAAATTAAGCATTTTATCTTTGAGACTCAAGGAAAGGAGCTAAGGCTGGGGAGAAGGTAGATAAACGAGTGGATAAAGTAACTGATTGGTCCCATAGAGCAAGTGTGAATGAAAATCTTATCCTTGAGAATAGGAAAGCTGCTGCAGGCATCTGTCGGCTTGACTTAACACAAGATTCTTTTCCTTTTTCATAGCATTGATATGGATCACTTACGTGAAGATACATTTAGAAAGATGCAAGTTTTAAAAATGAGCAAGCCTGGAATCACCTGGTAGTTTCCAAGGGGAGCCCCTGAATTGACTGCATATAAGACCCCCTCTATCTGGCACCATCTTTAACAGTTGTGCAGTATTATTTTTCCAAACCTGTTAACCTTTCTTGAGGATGCTAGTGTAAAACAAGCATCAGTGATTATTATTTCTTACATAGAACCATCCACTAAGTAGGATGTAAAAAGCAGGAGCACCTTAGTTCGAATGTCTTCAACAATAATACCTGACATCCATATATTGTTTTAAAGTGTTTACTATGCTTTCACAAGAACCCTCAAAGGTAGGAAAATGAGGCTTACAGAGGTGTGACTAGCTCCAGATCCCACAGCTCATTAATAAGAGTTGAGACTGGAATCCAGTCAAGTCTCCCAACACCCAGATCATGCAGGGAAACAGAAA